AAACCAAATGTATCCTGAATTAACACCAATGAACGAGAGGAAGTTTGTAAGACTACAAAATAATTTCCTTAACTATGGCTACACTGTCCGTGGAAAATAAATAATTTCATGAGAACTTTGTTTGAATGATCAATATTTGCATTCATTTTTGGCGATTTTTTGAAACACATTAATAACCATTTATCAATTACTCATAAAAGTCGCCAAACTGTCATAAGCTTGATATTTCCACGGCTACCTAGAAATCAAATTCTTTAAAAATTATTTTTTGTACAACTGTTATTGAAAATATCTTTAAATCTCTTTGATAGAAACACTTCAATCAGAACACCTACCAAAAACTCATTTAGAAAAGTTCACACATGCAGTTCGTGCTGTTGGTAATATTAAATCCCTGTGAAGTTACTGACGATGACGAAGTAGTATTCAGTCCAAGTGTAGAAAGTCCTTCATGACTAACCAATAATCCTCCTTAAAATAACGTTAGTTGGCGTATGTAGTTGTAACTTATGCCTTGTGATCCAAAGATCGTGTGTTCAAATCCCATGGACTCTATAATTTTTTTTATTATCAGCAGTAACGCTATACAGAAAAATTTGTATGATACATTTGTTAAAAGTTATTTTATTTTGCTCGTTTTGCAATAATCCCCACTCACAAAATAAAATGCCACTTTCAACACTTGTAGGTAAAACGTGAATAACTATTTTTCCACAAAAACGGCTTTATTGAGAAAACTTGACAATTTAGGTATAGGGACATGTATATCATCTTGAAGCATTTTTCACCATCTTTCAATTTATCGAGTAATATACAGGGGGTTTCATTTGAAAAAATGAACTTTCGACTACTTCTATGCACACTGGAAATAATAGTAATTTCAGCACGCCCTGTATGATATGGAGTCGATTTCTTAGTGTTATTTGAATATTTCGAGTTTGTCCAAACTATCATCAAAATATCAACTTTTCATGAATTGAGAGTACTGATGTACTTAATTTCAATCAAGACTATGTTTTGGACAATATTTAGCACAATTTATTTTTTATCTCGAAAACAGATAGAGATAGGTATAGGACATTATCAACAAAAAAGTATTAAAATACTAGAGCGATTCCAAAAATGTATTAATATACGGGGTGTTCCATTCAAAAAAATATAATTGCTAGGACTTTTTGATAGAAGTGGCAACGCCACAATGCTGACAATATTTTAGATCTATAGAACAGGTAAGGAAATGTGAGGTGAAATTTTCAGAAAAATCATGCTTTGCGTTTTCCAGAAACGTCTAACCTACCATCGACCGTGAGTCACACTTCGTCTGAATCTACAATGTTTCACACGTTCTGTGCTACTTCTAAACTTGTATCTCGTACTAGACGATGATAGTAACGGGTCTTCCACCAGGAACTTCCGAACTTTGACAATTTATAACGGCCATCTTGTGGAAGCTACATCTGTCAAATTAGTTGTCATTTATTCTGTCCGTATTGCCAAATCACCATGGACGATTATAGCATTTAAAAACACGGGCAACGTATCGCGCGCTTCGCCTATTTTACGGTCGCCATAATAGTCCTACCGAGAGGACATTCTCAATGTGGTGGATGAATTTGAGTCCACTGGTTTAGTAAACGATCGACCAACACCCGTACGTCGACAAAACGCAAGATCTGCCGAAAACATCGCCGCTGTCTGTGAGAGTGTGCAGGGGAATCCGCGTCGATTTCGCGTCCCTCACAAGAACTCAACTTGGTGAGTTTTGTGCCGTGAGTTGGGCCTTTTCCCGTACAAAATTCTACTGACCTAGTAACTGAAGGTAAACGACCATAGGCAATGACTTGTGTTTGCTGAATGGTCTAGAGCAGTTGGCAACTGAACCTAATTTTCATCGAAAAATCATCTTCAGCGATGTTGCCCATTTCGGGTTCAATGGGTTCGTCTACAAACAAAATTGTCGAATTTGGGACGACACCAATCCACATGAGATCCAAAAGCATTCAATGCATCCCAAAAAAGTATCTGTTTGATGTGGGTTTTGGGCTGGGGGCATTATCGGTCCATATTTCTTTGAGAACGACGTGGGCCAAGTCAACGGTGAGCACTTCGGGTTGATGATTACCAACTTCTATTGGACTGAATTGGATGATCTGGATACCAAGGACATGTGGTTTCAATAGGACGGCGCTACATGCCATATGTTCATGCCACATTGAATATTCTGCACGAGTGATTTAAGGGCCTGATTATTTCACGATAACAACGAATAATAACGATTAATGAACAACGAATAATAAAAATTAGACTGACCAAGTTTTTGAAGAAATTCAACATATTGTCGGAACTTCAGTATGGTTTAAGAGAAGGCAGATCAACCGAGGATGTCATTTATAAACTTACTACAATTGTTTATAGTGCTCTAGATAAAAAAATGCGTATACTTGGAATATTTATAGACCTCCCCAGGGCTTTTGACACTGTATGCCACAAAACCCTTTTACGAAAGCTGAATGGTTATGGCATCCATGGGAATACATACAACCTGTTGTCCAGTTATTTATCAGATCCTGAACAGAGTGTTGAAATTGATGGTGTCCTAAGTGTTCTGAGAACTGTGACCGTTATGGTGTTCCTCAAGGCACTGTGCTGAGGCCACTCCTTTTCACTATCTACATGAATAGTCTGTTTTCTTTAAATACCACTGGTCAAACTATCGGTTTCGCCAATGATACTGCCATTTTGTACACTTCTTCAACTCGGCAAAATATGAAACAAACCGTTGAAGATGATTTTCCTAAAATTTCGGAATGGTTCCAATGTTAATTACCAAAAAACTTGGTACTTACCATTTACATCTTATTTTAGCGGATTACCGAACTTAGGTCCCCTTAAAGTAGGCTTCAACAAACAAATTCCTTCAGCAACATCGGTGAAATACCTTGGTGTCACTATAGACACAGGAGGGTTTCTTCCGAAATTTAGATATCTCAAAGAATTTATGGACATCAAACAATTAAAAATGATTTATTTCTCGCTAGTACAATCACATCTTGCATACGGAATTTTAGGATAGGGGGGTTAGTGATTGTTTTACAGAAAACGTAAACGTGGTTCAAAAATGGATTCTAAAACTAATATTTGCCAAGAAACGTAACTATAGTAGTGATCTCTTATATAAAGAAGCTCAAATCATGGACAACAGACAACTTTTCTGCATGAAAATATTATTACTCATTAAAAATAAAAAAATTATATTACAAGTTTATGAATATACTCATAATACACGAAATAATGATTCTACATTTTTACCCCGATGTGACAAAACAATTGGACAACGAAGTGTCAATTACCTGTCACCAAGAATATATAAGCAAATACCTCATGAGATTCAGAATATTGAAAAATTTTCTTCAACTGAGTGGATTCTCAAGACGGCACGTAATATTTTCAGTAATGATAAATTCTAAGTGAGTATTTTATAAAAGTAATGTATCTCCTGATTAAGTCATTTACCTCCTGATTATGTCATTTGCCTCCTGATTATGTCATTTAAAGAGGTGTGAAATTACTACATGTAACTTATCAAAAAATCCAAATATGACTTTACCTGGATGTGTCATTATATCACGTACAAGCAGTTTGAACTGCTTCTGTGATTATTCTGTTCATTTGTTTTTTACATGTGTTACATTGTTTTGTAAAATTTTATTTTATTATGCAAATGAATATTATTATTATTATATATACGCCATTGGAATCAGTGCACATTTGCTAACGTAACACGTGTCGAATAATTCCGCCAAATCTCTCGCCAACTGACTACGATCTGGGGAGTATGGTGGAGCCACGAAAACACTTGACATTTAAACGGATAAAACGGATTAAACGGACAATAGAAAGATGGTCTTCAGTATAACGCAATGGAACCAGAACCATCCTGACCATTACAATTGTCGTATATTTTGCCCCCTATTTAGTATGCGGATGACTAAACTTAAAGTGACTCCAACTGTAAATTACGCAACTACATCACTGGAACCATCAAACAACACGAGATTGCTAGAAATTATACCAACCTCTACACACTAAAGACTCGTTACTTTTACATCTGGTACCGCATCTGCAAGTCGGGTGAACTCTCATATCGAGGAAAAATCATATGCCTCTCTCTCTCTTTCCAACGTGGAACTGAGAGAGAGAGAGAGAGACAGTCAATTCTCGTCTCAATGTCAGAGTTCACCTGATATGAAAATGAGGTCATAGACGACCTGGGTCCGCTAATCCAAAATTTGTCTGTCTGGTTTAATATTTACCAAACCTATGAACCCTATTGCCAGAGAACCTTCAAGGTCACTCTATATGTTTTGTGATGATTACGTCACAGTGAAGATTGATATATGCTAAAACTGAAGCCAATTATTGAAATGGAACAATGTATAATCGTATTTTTTATTCGTTCCTTCATACTTTGGATTTGCAGCTGGAAGTTAATGACATATTTGTCAAATGTCAAATGCTTTCAAATTTGATAATTCAGCAGTGGTTTCACTTATTGATCCATTGATCACTATTGGTTGATCGAAACTGCGCATTGAACATTGCCGAATGAATTAACCAGAATCATATTCACGTCGTCATTAACTAATACACCAGAAATCAAAAATAATAAAAAACAATTGCCCTTATGTCATCTGTCATTTATATCATAGCATGATACAAGCAGGGGACGAAAGAACAGATAGAATTGTCAGAACACACCTAACACACACACACACACACACACACACTGACCTTCACCTTTGAATTTGTTCTGTGCAGACTATCTATACGTCAATATATAACAAACGATATTTTACGATTACTTTGCTTCTTTATCAGAGGAATTACACGAAATTGCACGTATATTTCCATTACACGAAATCGCACAAAATACATCAAACGTGTTTGTACCCCTACAAGTACATTGTTGCCAAATTAACTTATTCTTATTTCTTTTCCAGACATAAAAAAGTGATTATCCACGTGCCATTCAAAGTTAAGCACATCCACCACACCCGCACCGTCGTCAAGCACGTCGGCCACGAAGGAGGCGGCGACAAGGAGTACTACAAAGTCATCGGTTACTCCGGAGGAATCGACGACGGAGAGGTAGTTTCCCATGGAGGCGGCGGACACGGAGGTGGATGGGAAGGCGGTTTTGGCGGAGGCATCGGAGGCGGCCATGGAATCGAAATCGGTCACTCAGGTAGATAGGGTCTACTTTTATCTACTTCTTGAATAATCTAATGTCTTCGAACTACTAACGTTTCTCATCATCATGTAGTGGTTTGGTTTCATTGATCATGTATACTTTTATATCAGCCTCGTTCATGACAAATCCTTCATCAATATTATTCATGTTCAACGTCTGATATCAACTTTGAATGAAAGAAAACTTATATGGCACTACGGGTCTATAAATATATAATTTTGAACATAGTTCTTCGACCGATTACGTTGAATTCCGATAACGTCAAGTTCTCAGTACGTCAAGACACATTATTTTCACTGACGTCACCAAAATACAAACGTTGTTGAAACTGAAATCAATTTCAGATAGCTAGATTTCCAAGTAACGATAATTCGACGCAGTGGGAATTCGACGTAAGGGAAATTCGTCGTAACGGAAATTCGATGTGGGGGAAATTTGATGCAGTGATACGCACCCAACTCGACGAATAATTTCTATATCGATTTATTCAGAATCATACTGAGTTCAAAAACTGAACAAGTTGAAATTTTGTTATTTTATGATTATTGACACATACCTTGGACTGTTTTATGCCATTGATGTGGTTTCTAATGTTTTTTGAATAACAGGTGGATGTTTTATGTTATTTTGTAAACGTCCTGTGGATTTTACGAGCACTCGAGTAGAATTAATGTTTTAATCAACTCCAAGGTCACCATTTTTCCTAATAGTACATATTATGTAGAATATCAGAAAGTTGAATCATTTCTATCAAAAGTTACAAAATTTTTACAGTATCTTTGGAGCAATATGATTTGAACAATCAAATGTACATAAACAATCGCATATGCTTTTTTGGGCTTATTTGCCAACGTATTATTGAAATGTTATTAACAATAATGCCAATTGGCATTGGATGAAATCGTATGTTAGCAACAGAAAACGAATCGTTTGTATTGAGTATCAAGCAGAAGTTTTTGACTTTGACATAGTTGAAATTCATAAAGGTGTTCCACAAGGAAGTGTACTAGTTCCTTTGTTGTTTATTAATTATGTAAAAGATTTTCCTGAACTTTGACGAGCACATTGATCATCTTGCAAAACAAATGCTAGCAAATGTTATGCAATTAGAGTTTTAAGAAGTCACTTGAATATACTGGAATGGAATTATCTATTCTTTTCTCAAACACGGAGTTTTCTGGGGTGGAAGTATTTACTTGGATCGCATTTTCTTTATGCAAACCTTTAATAAAGACTATGCTGAACATGAACTTCACAGACTCTTGTAATATTTCTGAGAGTAATAAATTATTTACTTTATATTGGATTTATATTTATGTTTGTGTTATTTTCGTGTATGACATTAAAGAAAAATTTATCATTCATAAAAATATCCGCGAATACTTCACTGGGAATAACTTAAACTTCATTCTTCCTAAACATAGACTAAGAAATACAGAAAGAGGTCCACGATCTATGACCATCAAATTATACAATCATTTACCACTGACAAGAAGGCAGACGGCATACTTTGAAGAATCTAATTTTCGATTAGTTGTGTAACAAGGAACCAAATTCGATGCAATAATTTTTTATATTGCAATTTTACGCCGAATTCAGAAAACAGTAGAAGGATAAGTAGTATTATTTATCAAAATTTTCATAAACTTCACAACTACAGACATGATATATGCGAGTCATATCTCTTAGACAAATGGGTTGTTATCTGTCTCACACGTTCCTTTTTTACATGCTCAGTTATGTACTTCCACGAATTGATAAATCTGTGATGGTCTTTTGTTATATGTGCATTTATATATTTAATTTTACTAAATCAAGTTTTCATATGTTCAATTCGAAAAATTCAATATATCTTTATCTCTATCTATAACAGGAGGAGAGGGAGGGAGCCTGTTGGTTGGCCTGAATGGCTCATTTTACTCATTCAGTCGACTTGTTTATGAAACGGTGGTTCGAACCCGATGGGCGAACAATAGATTTTCACTGTGTATCGTTCAACACGTGTTAGGTATCGCACGTTAAAAAATTAAACGCCGTTAATCTTTAGCTTGCACACTTCTCAGAATTATTGTTTGTAAGTTGGTTAATGGAAAAACAGGTCAGTGATCAAGTTAGAGTTTTTTGAAAGTATCATCCCAGTATCGCCAAAAAATACTTTTTCTCACACTCAAAGTTAAATGTACAACATCATATATCAGAATTTGAAAGGCTCTTTATGGAAAAAATCGGATTAGTCAAACAAAAAAGTAAAAATCACTTTCATGTGAGATGCTATCTAACTCCTCAGTACAACAACCGAAAAAGATGTCCTTGTCAAAGGAATAAATTCTGATTTTTTTAGAACGGACAAAATCTGGGCTGCTAGGCTGTGTTTGAGAGGAAACCGTGGTATAAAACGTTTCGTCTGCTACTGCGGCAGATATATTCAGTGCAGTATGCATTGACTGCGAGGTCTCAGCACCAATGTCTGCCGCAGTAGAAGACGAAACATTCTGCTCACTCCGTTAGCCCGGATTTGGTTCTCTCTAATCGTGATTTCGGCCGTGAAACCGTGTGTTCTGAATATATTCTGAATATATCAGCAACTGATTTTGAAATTGGTGAACCCTGGTGAAACATATAATTAGCATATTCATTATGTTAATGATTTTCCGATTAGCGATTGGTACGTTACTCAATGAATTTTGATAACCTCGTCCTCCTCCTCTAAGGTGTTCATTCACCCTTCGAAGATTGGAACCAAACAGTTGTTGGACTACAGTAGGGATGAACTACGATGTCCAACATGCTTTCCCACGGGTCACTGTCGTCTGAATCATCATATGCAGAGATTTTGACTGTTGGGAGACAGTGTATGTCGCTAGAGTGTTAATATATGTGAGCCACAATGAACCTTCGCGGGTTGCGGTAGAGGGTCGAATAGACCCACTCACTCTTGATCTAACCTAATGTAACCTACTCTTCCTGAATTTTTGAAAACGAAATGTGTACACTGTGTACAGTGATGAGGTAATCAATCTCTATTGTCACGTCGTGCAAAAGTTGCAGAATTACGATTTCTGTAAGGTCATGAAAAAATAATACTGGTTCTTTTGGCAAAATTGCCCAACTTTGATTTATAACAGATGCTTCGGCTGTTGGGCTCTTCTTTGAAGTATTGTTGGGAAGATAGCCGGTTGGAGGGATGGTAGCCGGTTGGATTGACGTGGGTGGTTTGCTCCACTCACTCAATCGACCGCTGTGCGATCCGGTGGTTCGAACCGCAAGGCCGGACGATCGATTTTCACTTCCTATCGTTCAACCCGTGTTAGGAATCACACGTTAAACGGTAAGACCTCGTTAGTCCTTAGCTCGCACAAGTTTCGACTTCTGAAAGTTGTCGTTCGTAGGGGTGCGACAGTTGGTTAACGGAAAAACAGATTTTGAACGGTTTTTTTAGACAGATTTCAATTCTTTTCAAACAAAATTTATTGAAGTATTTGTGGTGATGAATTGACGGATTGGGTTGTAGCAGGAATAAGCCTCAATTGCTACTCTCAACCTCAATAAATAGAAATACCATGGTTCAATCGTTTGGAACTTCCTATGTTAATTATTTTGACGAATTCACTCGATCTACAGCATCTATCATTTTTCATAAAATGAATAGATTCAACATAGTTCATCATTCCATTCGTAGCACCTATAATTTTTCATAAAATGAAGAGATTCAACATAGTTCGGCATTCCATTCGCAGAGGCGCTAAGCGCACACCATTGTCCACATTTTGAAACAATTCGTCTTCCATCTATCAACATTTTTACAAAGTTTGATCAATCTCATTTCTCGCGTCGAGTTTGTAACAAAACAAAAGCGAATCGGTTTTAACTCCAAGGTTTTTATGCATATTTTTTTTCAACGAATGATTTTTTTCAATATCTGATCCCCGTCTTTTGTTAAGTACCTAATTTTCATAAATATTTTTTGATCAAATATAGTAAAAACTGTCTGTCTGTCATCTTCATTGTTTTCGGTCTAATACAATCTTGAAAAAAAGCTTATGATTTTTCATAACGGTCATAATTTCAATACAAGTGACTAAACGAAAGCCATAATGATCAAGTAGGGATGGTAAATTATAAACCATCCTCATCTCCACTTACTAGAAGTAAAAAGTAAAAAAAAATTAAAACGATAAAATATTGTGTAATATTGATGAAGAGATTTGGTTATTTTTTGATATGAAACAAAATCGAATACATCATACTATGATCTCTCGAAAAGTGTGGTTATTTGTTATATCCTAATAGTAGTATTGTTTAGATATGTCATATACATATTGTTTGTTATGTTTTTGTTAATAAATTGTAATTCGATATCTGAATTTTTTATTCTACAGAAATATTTGGAGATTCAACAAAAACATTAGTGAAATCAAATGAAAGTTCAACCAAAATGCTTGAGAAACCTATTAAAATGAATTCCTATTATAACAGCATTACTCCACATCATCAGACGGGTAGGTCTGTATGTCATGATTGTTCATTATATTGTCATTTGCACGTTCATTAGTTTCTTATGCTAGTAGTTATGGTTGATTAACGTCCGTTAGGTTATAGTTTTTTCATCCAATCCGGAATCATGTATAATTTGATTCAAAAGGATGTTATTGCTAACAATAAAGTGAACCCCTAGAGGGTGATTCGATCATGAATACGGAAGCCTTTTCATGAAGTGTATTGTCTCTTTTTGAAACTTTTCTAATGATTTATATCTATTTGTTCCTGATCATAGTTTTTGCTGTAAGTTGCGAGTGATTCCTCAGCTGAAATTCGTTTTCTTTTCAATCGCCTAAGCAGGCATTCAAATCTTTGTTTCTTCATTTTCTATCGTGGTTTCTTCTCAGTTTTTCCTTTAATTATTTCTTTTTAGTTAATTGGTCCAGATATTTCATCAATCAAATATCCGTGAATATTCTTTTATTTTTTCAGCTATAGATTTTGCTTTCGATGCATACATTAATTGTCATCCCTCAATATCGTTGGTGAAATGAATTTTAATGTCGTTATTTCTTCTAATTCAAATACTCCTACCTTAAATGGTTTCTTTCTACAACTATAATATCATTTACTTATGTTCCACTGATTTTGAAAGTTGTTATTCACCTTGGTCTGTTGATCTTCATTGCTTATTTGTTTGAATGGTATTTTTGCTGCTGTCAGCACCATAGTGACATCGTCAGATACTATATAGTCTTACTTCTTTTCTAATACAAATATTGGAAAAGAAGTGGGACTATAATAAAACAAATGTATGGCATTCATTTTCACATTATTTCTGCTCTATCTCATAACTATCTGATATCTTATGGTGGTGTTCAATGTTTTTTGTACTATACTTTTCACTAGTATGTATATTATTTTTTGTACCAATTTTTCCTAATCAAATTCATGTGTGTTATTTATCATGTTTTTCATTTATTTTTCATTGATTATTTCCCTTCAATTTTTCTCTCCGATAGATTTTGTTTAAGTATTCCTCTTCCTGATAATTCTACATTTTCCTAAATTTTTTTCATCATGAATATAAGAAAATCTATTTTGCAAAGAGACGAACAATGTAAACCACCACTCTGAAAATTAGGATTCATTTGCAAGAATTTTTGTGTCAAAATGTGATGAAAATATTACCAATGATTTACCTCTTTTCCATCTTGGTAGATGAAACAGACACTCAAAAATGAAAGACGTTGAATTTTCTGCCAAAAACCATTCACAAAAAACAAACCACATATTTCTATGCCTCTACATGAAGCTCTTTTCAGTTTCAGGAGGTGGTGGTGGATATGAAGGGGGCATTGGAGGTGGACACGGAGCATCGCTAGAGAGTCATGGGGGAGATCAAGGGAGCTCAGGTCTGGGTCATTACGAGGAAGGTCACAGCTTTGGCGGTGGTGACGGAGGATACGGAGGAGGTTATGGAGGAGGTTATGGAGGAGGTTATGGAGGTGGTGATGGTGGCTATGGAGGTCACGGCTTCGAGCAAAACGCGATATCACATGAAGGAGGAGGTCATGATTTTGGCGGTGGTTATGGAGGAAGCTATGAAAGCCATGGAGGAGATGAAGGTCACGGTGGCTACCATTGAGTGCAGCTCTTTCTGAATAAACTTATCGCTACCTGTACATTATTTTCTACAAATGACCAAACTAGTCCTTTTTTGTTGTTAATTTAGTGTGTAAGTTGGATGTTTCCTTATTGTTGATGTCTTTTTTACTTTTATAATAAAACCACTTTATTTATATTCAACATTGTGTTTCATTTATTCATTATTCATTATTAGTAGCAATTTTGATATACAGAACGTATCATGCTTAGCAATACCATCAGGTTTATCAGATCACGAAGCAATTACTTGTTTTGTACGTCTTGACTCATTAATTACACAACGTAAACTTAAGTTTGGGAGACTTTACAGTAGAACAAATTACAATAGATTTCATCAGAATTGTCTAAAGATTAATTGGAAAGGTATGCTGTCCCAAAGTGAACCTTTCCTCGCATTTCACAACGCGCTAATAAATGTATTTGATGAATCATTCTCCATGCAAAAAAATCAAAGTCAAAAAAGAAAACCATGAATTACAACAGGATTGAAAATTTCTTCGAAAAATTCACGTACACTGCATAACATACGAAAATTTACTGACAATCTTCACTTCCATGACTTCTTCAATAACTACCGCAGAATATATAGATCCACTATTAAGAGAACGAAGGAAATCCATTATGATAACCAAATCGGTAAGTAAACTAAAGAAGCATGGTCTGCTATCAGTGATATTACGAGAAATAAAAAAAAACATGTGGGAATATCACTTAGTCCTGAAAAAATCAATGATTATTATTGTTCGATTGCAAAAAACCTTAGTGAGAATATAGTGGTATGTTACGATCCCTCAATAAATCTTGAAGATGTCAGAATTGAGGATAACCTAACATTGTACGATACAAGTATTAGTGAATTAGTAGGAATTTTGAGGAATATAAAGAATTAAAATGCAACTGGTTATGATGGAATCTCCATAAAAAGTATTAAAAATCTTCCAATTCAGGCACTGCAAAGATTGGTATTTCTAATCAACACTTCTTTCGACAATGGAATTTTTTCTGATTTTCTGAAAACATCCGTTGTCCTTCCATCATATAAATGAATCTTCGCACGATCTTTCTCATTCCAACTATACCCAAAGTTATCGAAAAACTTGTGAAAATACGTCTGACAGTTTTCCTAAAACACCACAATATTTTAAGTGAAAGCCAGTTTGGTTTTCAAAGCAATAAAAATACGCACGATGCCATCTTTTCATTTCTTTATGATATTTACTCGAAGTTTAATTCTGGTAGAGTAGCAGCTGCGGTCTTTTGTGATATTTCTAAGGCGTTTGGTTGCGTTCACCAATACGGCTGCAGATATAATGACGCTCAAATGGTTTGAATCTTACCTTTCAGGAAGGAATCAAATGNAACAGTTGCTTTGTTGTCGTAATTAGCACGCACTACCAAAACGAAGTTAATGCGTAGTAACTACAATTTCACCGAGCATTCGAGACTGGAATGGTCGGTAAAAAACCGGTGAGTATGCAAGAGTGTATTTAGTCATGTACGCCACTACTTCCCGGTTCTGCCGGCGATACAGTGGCAGTGGACGGCTGCTCACCGGTATTTTACCGGCGACAATCACCGGTAGGCATGTGTGCAAGGTCCCGTTCCCACATGTGGTTCACTATTGGAATTTGGACGACCGGTACAAAGTCGGCCGTCAACTAGCGTTACGCCCTCGTTGAATCCCACCTACGTTATGGAATACGTGCAGACTTTGACAATAGGCTGTATTATTGTTTACAAAACAACGGAACCCACTTTTAAATATTCCATTCAAGCCAAAGTTTCACAATTGTTGCGTCACCCTGTACAATTATTATTTATACCATTGGATAGCATTTTTTATAGTCTTTCCAATGATGTACACAACTAGGGGTTTGCAATTTAAACTTTTTGAGTTTTGGTGGGTCCTGATGGGTTGAGTTCTCTTTCATGTCACTTTAGTTCCCCCTTACTATCCTAGAAACGGTTTCAAGCATTTTTTGATATCAGCTTTCGTTCGTGAGATAGAGCCCATTGTGAGTTTTGAAATTGACACACTTTATTCAAGAATGAACAAGGAAAATACATAGAGTAGCAAATGACATTTTTGCATTTAAAAACTCGTCAAGAGTATGTTCTGATGCTGAATCACCAATAGTGGAGGATTGTTTGAAGGTGATTGACAATGTTCCATGATGAATTTCACTAGTTCGGACTTCCATTGTCTACTGTTGATGTGTTTCAGGAAGGCGTGAGACCTTCCATCAATTTCACAATGGAGAAGGAAATCCACAACGAATTGCCATTCTTAGACGTTTTGGTGAAAAGGACCGACACTAAGTGGGAAACATCTGTATACCGAAAACCCACTCATACGGGACAGTATCTGAACCACGAATCCAACCACCATCAATCGACTAAAAGAGGAATCATCAAGANTACAGGGGGAAACCACGTTAAAAAAACGCGCTAAGTACACTACCTCATAGGTGGCGTGGAAACGTGTGCATATAATGATGATTACAACTTTTACAACTTTTTGACTCGTCGTATCTCAGAAACGCTGGCTCTAAGAAAAAAAATATTGATACATTTTTTGTAGAGAATTTTATGATCTACAATTTTTATCTGAAGTTATTTTATGATAAAACTTACCGTTTTCCTGAAAATCGCGAAAAACCAATTTTTTCGAGATTTTTGACCTTTGACCTCGAATAAATGTTTTTTCAGGCATCGCAATCATTCGGAATTTTAAAATCTTATTTGTTTTGAACAATTACACGCGTTTGCAGCTTGTTGTAAATTCATGTACCTTTCAATGTCTAGATTGACCGTATTAATAAAAACATCTTTCTAACAGAAATGCATGAGTACTGTCGAGGAACAGTGAACAAACAGCGCTGGATAGCTTTTTGTTGGATTAATACAGTTTTACTCTTTGCAGAGTTGCCCCACAGACACCATAGCGCAACCTGGATTCGACATGGGCATGATAAATAGCCATAAGTTGGTTTATGTTGAGAACATTTCTTATGTTAATGAAAAGATACGTTATAGAGCTCAATTTTAAAACTAGTTGATCACAGTGCTCATTCCAAGAAAGACTTTCATCCAATAGCCGGCCACACACATAGCGACTTAGAGAAGGTTTTAGCATGGCCCATGCAAAGAATGCGAGCCAAGTTTGTGGCGAGCCAAGAACACTGTTGTCCATTACCGAAAATATTAAATGGCAATACTTTGATGAGAGTCTTTGACGTACATACCAAAAATGTGTGTTTATGGAGATAAATATTGACATGCATACAAAAGTAGCGCGAGCTTGGATTTCTTACGTGTTTGATATTTTGGTGTGACTCGACGGTGGCGGAGAAATAAGTAAATTATAGCGATGGCTGTAACGTATGTGGGAATCACAGACCAAGGAAGAAATAGGAGAAGATGAGAAAAAAAGGCTAAAAAAAAATACACACACTTAGATCTGTTAAGTGAATTACGACTAAACGATCCAGATGACTTCAAACATTATTTAAGAATGGATTGTGAAACGTTTGACGAATTGCTAGGTGTGTTAAGGTCATATTAGATGAGACAAGACACACCAATGAGAAGATCGGTATAAGCCGAAGCTCGATTGAGGGCAACGCTTAGGTTTCTAGCAACGGGCCGTAACAATGAAAATTTAAAATTTATACTAAAACCAATAATGATTGAGAGTAGAAGTAAGCCCAGTTGACAGCAAATCGGGGGCGTGCTTATTAATTTTTGAGAGGGTTGAGAATGAAAGAAAAATTCTTAGTACAATTAGTTAAAATATTCATACACATTTTGCAGCATTGGGTTGCAGCAATTGATATGTGAACTCTTTATAACTATTCTTAAGCTTTTGAGTAACTTAATCTCATCGTCAGGGGTACTAGAAAATACAAATTACAAATTTTTGATAATAGAATATAATATAAATGTAAATGTACAAATTTTCGTCTAATCTTCAACCTCAGATTCGTCACTGTTGCTACCGCTATCATCAAAGTGAATTATGATTGGTTCAATATTGTGTTCAATACGG